CAGCAGCGCATAGAGGCATGCCAGACAAGGATTGAAAAGTGCATTAGACTCGAGGTGGGGGGAGGATAACTTTGAAAGGGAAGCCATGTAATTTGTTGTTTGGAATTGAAATAAATTGTTTTTGACACAAGTCCCTTTGCTTTTCAGACCGACCTCGTATATTCATTTTTCTAATGAGCCTTCTACCTCGATATCTTGACTACATGTATTTAATTTATTGAATAGGTCTCGTCGTTTTGTTGTTGAAATAATTACATACAAATCGTAATTTTTATTCTAATAGTTTCTTATGTCGCTCCTCTCGCCTGTAGAACTCTCTTCTGCTTTCTTGATTCCTCGCCATTAAGAGTCTTCAAATATGGAAGCCATGTTCTCTTCCTGGATCCTCCTTTTATTGTTATTTAACCTGACTAAAGTCTTCTTATTCTCTTTCACTCTTCGTAAACCCTTGCGTCTTAGTAGCATTATCGCCATCGTCTGTCTTCGTGAAACCTGTTCTTTTGTTATCCTTTCTCCTACAAAATGTTTCTTATACTTTTTCACTTCAAGTAAGCCTTTGCGTCTTAGTCGCATTATCGCCATCTTCTGTCTTCCTTATACCTGCTCTTTTATTGTCCTTTCTCATCACTAAAGTCTTCTCATTCTCTTTCGCACCCAGTAAACCCTTGCGTCTTAGTGGCATTATCGCCATAATCTATCTTCCTGAAACCTGTTCTTTTACTGTTCGTATTCTCACTAATGTCTTCTCATTCTCTTTCGCCCCTAGTCATCCTTTGGTCTGATGTGGCATTATCGCCATCTTCGGTCTTCCTTAAACCTGTTCTTTCATTGTCCTTTCTCCATACTACAGTATTCTTGTCCTCTTTCATTCGCAGTAACTCCTTGCGTCTGAGTGGCTTCATCACTTTACTTGGGGTGAAATGATATAAAAATATGTATATGCCTTCTTGTTCATATTAATAAACGGAAAATACTAGGTGATGTTATTTCTACCAATAAAAATATGCACACCATTTACATTAATAATTGCAAAATTGGTTTGTTAATATAAAACATTATTTACAAAAAATTATACCGTTTAGGAATTAATACTGGGGGAGATTATGTGGATGCATACATTTACCAACGTTATTAGCGCATAAGTAAATTAACGAACCCAACTGCAATTGAAACTCGGCTTTCCTATTTCAAATTCCGAGCCGTTATTCATTACACTGACCGCACATTCGAGCTTACACCACCTGGTATTCCTAAGTGGTCATCTAGTTATAGATTAGGTAATAGGTTAATTGATATCGGTGATCGTACAGGAACCTGTATTTCAATGTGATATGGCCGTAGACATAAAACGATAAATGCTGAAACATTGTAATATAGATTCCAAAGTAATGTTATATTCTTAAAAAAATCAATAATATTAATATATCAATATAAATTAATTTTAAATATAAAATAAAATATTAATAATACAATGAATTTAATATATACATTATATAAGGGTTATACATAAGGGAAGTATGACAGTATTAAACGCTCCAGCATTATGGGTATTTTCCAACAAAACCATCCACTTTGAGGAACTATATATGTACTAGTATACATAAATGTTCTATATAATTTAGTTGTTAAATACAAGTTTATTTTCATTAAATTAGTTTTACTTAAAAATATATCATATACATTTACTATTTCTATAATACAATTTCTATACTTGTCTCTATAGTAAAAAAATAATATAAGCGTTTTTTTTGTTTTGTTTTTTTCATCGAATGGCTATGAAGATCAACCAAAAAAATTATGTGTAAGGATGTGTGTGTACAGACGGGCGCACACGCGGGATCGCGTGCGTATGTGGAGGGGTGCATAATTTCCAATGGATGTTTATCCAAAATTAATTCTTTTTTCTCTGAACGTTATATTTAGTTGGCATACGTATTTGAGTAGATATCCCGGTTTTATTTTTTTTTTTAATTTTCTTAAGCGGTATAATTAATAACAAGCGGCCAGGTTTGCAAAGTCCTACAAAAGAAAGATTGTGTCGTTGGGAGGAATCGAAACTACACACCATTTTTTTTTGTTTTTTTCTATCAAGGGATCAGCATCTGTAGCGAAGCTTGGTGAAACTGGAAAAGCACGTTTCAAATACGGAAGCGGAAACCCATTTCATTCTCCCGTCATGAGTTGAATATTAAGAATTGTATTTCGAAAAAAACAAAAACAAACATCACTGATGGATCAGGTAGAATTACCTTACGAAATCGCCGATTCCTCAGGAAACTGGATACACCTACAATTCCAGTTCCCAGACCTAGTGCCTTACCTGAGACCCCTACACCAGTGCCACAAACATTCGACGCTGGAATAACATCGAACACTGCTCAGTCGTCTACAATAACACGGACAAAAACCCCTCGGGCATTGTCCAGACTACTTCCGCACAACCAGCCAGGTTTAAAGGAACTCATCCCTCCTCAAAGGCCACTACACACACGCGATGTGGGATGGGGGAGGAGATGTAGAATAACAATAATAAACAGCACTTACCGGCGTAAAGGTCCCAGCTAGCGTCCAGCTGGCAGACAAAAATAAAGCAGGTTGTAACTTAATACAAACCCTGCAAACTAACTGATGAATCAAGCTGGTATTTATATAGAAATACCTCCACTCAGGTACCAGCAGCCAATCACAGCCCAAGCAACGGACTATCCCATTTTAGCACAATGAGATGCTCCATGGCAACATAAATAGCTCTCTTTCTAAAGGTTGGATTATTATTCACTTAGCTTGCTCCACAACTGAGTGCTTATCTCTACCACGTGATTTTTCTATAATCACAAAAATTTTCCATTAAATATTCACTCACAAAAATAAAGTAATATTCTTACAACCCATAATATCTTTCGGGTATAAATAACCCAAGCAGGGTTAGCAACCCTTAAAAAAGAAACCAATCGATAAAACACTAACTACTTGAAGATTAACATCTTAGGATTAAAGCTAATATGAGGGCCAGCTGAATAGTTTATAGGCTGACTCTCAATTAAAAGCTTTATTTTTATCATAACCCCCACCCATTGCAGTTTAGAAACTTCTTCCATCCTTGCTGCAGTGTCCAGATTCTGTTGATGAAGAAGAAGTCATCTTGTTAGCGAAAAATATCATAAGAAGCTAATATGACATCATCATCACTACTAGTTGTTACGGTTTTTTGGGTATATTGTATATAACTAGTGAGCGAGTCAGAATGACTTATTTCCCTTTATAGTCGACCACTAGAAGGTTGACCAATCAGAAGCCGCGCAACACTGTATCCGTCGTGTATAAAGGCGGCCATCTTTGTTTTGCTACTGGATCGACCAGAGGCAACTTGTCTGGTGAACAGGACAGACGGAAGAACTACGTTCTGCTAGCTTGCTGCGATATCCACTGCGAACCTGCACTACGCTTTCCTACTGTCTCCGAAATATTCACTGCCAACCTCTGGATTCTATACTCGAGGGACGACCGTCATGAAAATGTCTAACACTAGTTCCCAGCCAAGTGTTTTTCATGTTGGAGAACAGATGATAATCAGATGGAGTCAAATCAGGAGAAGAGGGAGGGTGGCGAACTACTTTAAAGCCAGATTCACAGGAACCATTGACACCAACGACTTGTTTGCTGGGGAGTTGTCCTGATGAAAAAAAAAAAAACAACTTCTTTTATCAGTTTTCCTAGTTTTTTGATTTCAACAGCCTTTTGTAACTGTCTCAGTAAGACGGCATAGTACTCTCCATTGATGGTGTGGCCCTTTTGAAGATATATTCAGTTATTAATAAGAAGAGTTGAAATTAATGCATGCGTGTAGCATCACCCCATCATAGTCAGCCTATGAACTTTTCAACCCACTCTAGTATCTCCGGGATATCCTCAAGATCTATATTTCACATCTCTTCCGCTTATGGCCAAAATCTCATTTGTTAAACCTCTGTCTTGAGTGATTCTTGACCGTTGTAATGCTTAAATAGCATCAAAACATATAGAAAAGGCAATTCTTAGGTTATAGACTGCCAATTGAAAAGGAAAATATTTCTTGGACAAACTCAATTGGGTAGGGGGTTCTACATACTTTGAAATCTACTACGGGAAAAGATTGTGTTGCGCCTTTAATCCAAGTAGCAAATGTCTAAATAGCCTGAAAATTAGCATACAAAATTCTGGCATTTAATTAGGTTCGAACACTGCCCACCTAATGCTGTTGGAAATATGCCTCTAAATCCCTTAAATCCAACCCAGGAAAAAAAACAAAAAAACAAAAAACGATAGATTTAACAGATAAGCAACGGCTTCTCTTACCGAAATTCTGACGTTGGTAAAAGTTATCGTTTGGGAACTGCATAGCACGAGTGTTGTACAATTGAACTGTCCATAGATAACGACGCTGATGGCTATTGCTGAAGAATTAAGTGCTCTATGGCGTTTTAGAGTGTTCTCAGCCATTTTAACCTGCACCGACCCATTTGAATTCTGGGTAATGGGCGACAGAACTTCCCCTCTGCCTTCCATTAATCCTCTCTCAAGTTTCCACGGCATGTGCCGCCATCACAATCACGTTATCGCATTAGTAATGACATCGTAAAGAGAAGTGGTCATATCGACTTGCATTTCCTCTTCAAACCACGCCGGCACTAGCGTCACCAACAGCTATAACGAGAGTACCATTGGCAACATCGTTCTCCCACCTCCACAAATAATCATAATCATCATTGACAACAGTATTAGTTTGGGTATTTTCTCCTATACCTCCTCTTCTTTCTCATCCTTGTTCTCCTCTATCTTATTATCATTTTCCTTCTCCTACGTCTTTGTCTTCTTTTAGATTCTACATTTTCCTTGCTGTACATGCTTTGGGGTTTTTGTTGTTATTGTTGTAGTAGTTCTTCTTCGATGCCGTCGTTGGCATCAATTTCTTTGCCTTCCTTTTCGTTCACATCATCGTCATCTTTTTCTATCGATTTTGAATGTCTTCTTCTTCATCTTCTCCTTCTCCACCAACTTCTTCTTCTTCTTTCGTCGTCGTCGTCATTTCCAATTTTCATTGCTACCTGTTTTCATCGTCATTGTCATAGATTTTGAATTATTTCTTCTTCTTCTTCTTCTTGTTTCGTCGTCGTCGTCATTTCCAATTTTCATTGCTACCTATTTTCATCGTCATTGTCATAGATTTTGAATTATTTCTTCTTCTTCTTCTTCTTCTTCTTCTTCTTCTTCTTCTTCTTTCGTCGTCGTCGTCATTTCCAATTTTCATTGCTACCTGTTTTCATCGTCATTGTCAAAGATTTTGGATTATTTCTTCTTCTTCTTCTTCTTTCGTCGTCGTCGTCATTTCCAATTTTCATTGCTACCTGTTTTCATCGTCATTGTCAAAGATTTTGAATTATTTCTTCTTCTTCTTCTTCTTCTTTCGTCGTCGTCGTCATTTCCAATTTTCATTGCTACCTGTTTTCATCGTCATTGTCATAGATTTTGAATTATTTCTTCTTCTTCTTTTTCTTCTTCTTCTTCTTCTTCTTCTATTCATCATCGTCGTTTTCGTAGATTTTGAATGTATTCTTCTGCTGCTTCTTCTTCTTCTTCTTCTTCTGCTTTTTTGTTCTATTTTACATTCTTCTTCTTCTTCTTCTTTTTTTCTCCTCCTCCTCCTCCCCCTCCTCCTCCCCTCCTCCTCTTCCTACTTCTTCGCCTTCTTCTTCGTTTCCATCTTCTTCTTCCTCTTCTTCTTTTCTCCTCATTCTTCTTCTTTTTCTTTTCTACTGTCGTTATCCTCGCCTTTGACATCTTTTTCTTGTCACTACTTTCTACGTAATTGGCGCCATTGTTTCGAATTTTTAATAACTTATCACTTCTTTTTTCTCCGTCACCTTTTAGCATTTAACACTTGTTCGTCTTTTTGCATTGATCTTCTTCTTCTTCTTTCTCAACGTCACCGTTTGCAGCTTATTTTCTTTTGTTTTTGCATTTTTTCTTCTTCTACTTCTTCTGTTACTTTTTCCTCTGCTTTTTCCAAAGTATCATCTTTTTTTTCTTTGTTTTTACCATCAAACCCTACATTTTCCCCAGTGATCCCCCGTCTTTTCCTACCAGACAAATCAAACGACCTCCTTTTCTCTCCTCTCGTAAATGTTCATATACCACGAATAACAATGATTTGCTTCCTTTCTCTAATATTATGCAAAAATCATTAATTTTAATTTCAGGAAATCGGGTAAAGATTCGTATAAGTGATTGAAAAGGGAGTTGATGAAAATGTAATCGGCGTGCCGAGTTCAAATCCTGGTTGAATATATTTGCATTCACTTGACAATAATGCCCCTGGAAAATTCAGAATATCTGATTCTCTCTCGACCATGTATTTGAATAGTAGTGTAAACGTAGATTGTAAGCGTTGGCTTGTGTCCTCTCTAAGAGAACAAATCTGAATTGAACACTAGAGAATGCAATAGAACACCCAGCCAGGCCATATCACGAGTGGATCTACTAAGTCCTCGCTTTCCAGTCTTGGCAGACTTCAAAATCCCCACACAGGTGATGAATTATTTCCCACATTAAATGTCGTTAGCTATTAACCATTTTATCACTATTTTATGGTAGATTTTTTTGGGGGACGAGTTATATACTTACATTAGTACGATTTTTGAACTTTGTTCCACTAATCCAGACTTTCAACTCCATAACACACCGTGTCACGTACACAGAGTTCGTTCATTCTCATTGTCTTCATATTAATAAAACAGAATTTACACTTCTTCCCTGGAACTATTACGTTGTCTTGGAGAATACCAAGAGGATGTTTGTTTGGCCATTTCAATATTAATGTCTTCAAGTCTAGGATTTGACATTTAGGTATTTACCGTAATTTCTCGAAAATAATTCGCACCCATAAATAATACACACCCCAACAAATGATCCCAAAATTAAGAAATATATCCCGATGTATAATACGCATCTATAAATTTTGTCAAAAAAAAATAATTACGAAGATATTTGTCGACCTTGACATTAAGAATAAAATTGAAAATAAGCGGCTAAAATAGTCTTAAAAATTACTTTTGAACAGAATATTGTGAATGATAATTTGTTTAATGACAATTTAGATATTGATTCTATAATAGAAAGGGATGATGATGATGATGATGATGATGATGATGATGATGAAAATTAAAATTTCAATAAATTGTTAACGCGATATCCACTTTTCTTCGAAATTGGCCTTTTTATAGATTTTTATTTTTTCACCAAATAAAAAATGTGGTTACTGATGAATATAAACTTATTAACAAGAAATATTACAATTATTATTGTTGGATTTAAAATGAAAATTGGGATAATATCTTTCTTATTTTAGAACAACAAGTACGTATTTATTATTGTAAATCAATAACGAAAACAATATTTTTGTTTAAACCTATTTATAATACGCAACCCTCCTATCACCTGTAATTTACACGAAAAAATGCGTATTATTTTCGTGAAGTTACGGCACATTTTTTTCAAAATGTGTTTTCCGATATATAGACTAACCGATTTCATTTTGTTTCTTTTTCATTTTTTTCTATGGTTTTATCACATTTGTTAATCAAAAAATCCCATATTTTGATAATAAAGGATTTGCCAATGTAAACTTACTGTGGATTTAAAAAATTAGATTTCAAATATCAGCGGTATCTCTCTTTCATACACATGTATTGTAACAATTAAATAAAATTTTAAAGAATGAATCGCGTAACACGAAAATATTTTTCACTTAGCCATAGATTTTCCTTCATTCTATCAATTTTGATTTTTATCCTGCTAATTAACCCATAGTTGGGGGAAGAATAGTTTGATTCATATCTTTCACAACGGTATTTGCTCATTATTTGAAAATAACGACCCGACTAGAATTGGATCTCGGCTCTCTGATTTTCAACAGTGAGCCGTTATCCGTTACAATGTAGCAATCCTTGGGAACAATATATATCGGTATGTAACTTTCTTTTTATATTTGAAATACGAAGGAAATGAGGTTGATTCGACTCCTTGGAAGTAGTTTGACATAGTAATAGCGATAGATTAGCGACAGGTTCGCAACGTTAGGCAGATAGAGACTGAGGAAAGAATGACTTTATCCCCAACACGTTTGTGATTTGACAACAAAAAGTACAAAATACATCGCTAACTTTTTTTTAGAAAGATTTGTAAACAACCCACGTTAACAACGTTCCTTAGGCCTTGCACTTTTCTTCAGTTGTCTGTACCATTTTGGACGCTTTTGGGGATTTGGAAAAAACACTTTATTCATGTGTGCAGATACCCAATTCTTTGTCTATGTTATTAGTTAATGCAGGCTTACGGACACGTCACGTAGAAACACGAGTTCCCGTACGATTACCGAAGTTAAGCAAAGTTGAGTCTGGTCAGTACCTACAAGAGTGACCGTTTGCGAATATCAGGTGCTGTAAGCTTGGATGTGCAGGTGGTGTAATTGATAATGGCTGTGAATACTTAATCGGAGAGCCAAGTTCCAATTTACGTTGGAATCGTCATAATCACTTACGCGCAAGATAACCATTGGGAACTTATGAATCTCCCCCTTTTCTCCCTCAGCTATAGGTTAATTAGTAGGACGTCTATCATTAAGTCATTATTACCTTTTTTCTTACAATCTGAAAATATTTTCTGGTTTTAAATAAGCTGCAAAATGGCGTCCTCCGTTTAAAATCAGTTGATGTATTCATTAAATATGCATAGAAGCTGAGATCACATTCATGCTGAAGATGCTCAACCCACCCTTTTATTTTTGGAAATGTTTTGTCCTTTAGCTATGGGTTAAATAACAGTGTAAACTGGACGCTACCTGCCCAATTGTCCACCAGTCTAAGAGAAGGACAATTGATATTAACGAATTGCCTAAGAAAAAACATAGATCATTAATAAATATCGATGCAGATGATATAACCGTGTGTAAGTGCACCTCCAAAAATATAGATAATCCGAGATTGGCACAAGATCAATACACTGATCAAGCTCTAACTATTCAATGGGGAAAGACTGACTTGAAACATTCAATAACTTTAAAACCAAGCTAGTAACCAGTTATTATTACAAAGACTGAATTGCCGCCTACAATAAAAAAAAAAAAGTTTGTACTTTCAATGAAGCCCCTTACTTCGAACGTCTGTTGGGATCACGAACCTCAATAGAAGACATACACATGATCCAAAGACTCAGGGAAAATTCTCGTTAAAATAACCTGAGCACCTCCTGCCATTTTGAGATCTGTTTCCTAGTTTTTCTTTATCCAATCACTCTCTCTCTCTCTCTCACACACACACACACACACACACACGCGCACACACACACACACACACACACACACACACACACACACACACACACATATATATATATATATATATATATATATATATAATATATATATATATATATATAAGTGAACGTTGAAGGCGACAGGCTAGAGGCGACAGGCTGTTTCAGACTATAGGGAGTTGCTACACAAAGTCCCCTGCAATGAAATCATAGGAAGTGTTTTGCTTTTTTTCCTGATAATCAAGTCCTTCCTAACAGGTAGGTATATTTATATGTAATGGCCAATCTTCCGAAGGCCATAAGATCTTAATATCTACACAGTGGTCTTCATATTGTCGCTTCTCGCTCCTACCTACTTTCAGCTTTATATTAACGATTTGCCTACTTCAATCTTTGGTGAATATGCATGCAGATGATACAACAGTATATGGCTGAACCTCCAAAAATCTAGATGATGAGAGCCGGACAGCTGATTTTTCGTATGATCAAGCTCTAAGTGTTCAATGAGGGAAAGTCTGGCTTGTTACATTCAAGACCACCAAAACCAAATTAGTGATTTCAACATCACCGAACAAATACTGATTTTTTTTCCTTTCGCGATGAACGGATGTTATCTCAAGGAGGCCCCTTTGCCTTGAAAACCTTCAGGGACAAGTTCATTCCTGTCCTCAAGTAGAACTCATCTATACAATCCATTGCTGATGACGCTGGGAAAGTTCGCTTTAAAATAATCTGAACTTTTCCTTCCATTTTATATTTTTACAAGAGCCAGATAAAACCAAAAAATGGAGTACTTCTTCTATATCTGACTTCTACGTACTCACTTTCTAGCATAGTCCCAAAGAATCTACACGGCCTTGTGGGTGATGAATTACTTTCTACTTGACAGGCTTTTAGCAGAGATGTTATTCTATCAGCATTTCCATGGCATATGTTCTGTGCTTCATTCATTTGTTCCAGTAATTTAGACATTCACAGCTAAGAACCGCCATAGCTACATACACTAGAACAAACCTTCCTCATTCTTTAACCCTCTAGCTTTAGTGGCTCTTGGGCCTTGTTTTGGATGAACAACTAGAATTCGAAACCAGAGAATGTAACATGAAACAAATCCATTATCTCTCTCAATAAACAAAATATGACAATTCAGCTTTATATTTAATCAATAAAATTTGAAGTATTAAATATGTCGGTTTTTTCTTTTCTTTTTTCTTTTTTTAAGCATTTCACCCCAAGCAAGGCGGGAAGCCACTAGGACGCAGGGGGTTACAGGAAATTTAGAGCAAGATCAGATAGGAGTGATAGAAGAAAGGGTGAGGGTAGTGGATAGATCAAGGCAACTGGAGATGTCGATTGACATTACACTTGAATAGCTGGAGATTATTGCTCACTGGGAAACAGGAGAAGGGAAGGGAGTTCCACAGGCGAGAGGTGCGAGACATGAAGCTATTAGAGTAAAAGAAACGGCTACATTTAGGAGTTTCGACAGTGAAGGGGTGAAAGCGGGATGCCAGCCTCGTAGGGGCGCTGGAACTCATGACGTCTGGGAACCAGCGAATGCAGCTCCTCGGAGCAATTTCCATGAAAAATAAAAATAAATCGATTAACTCTTTAGAAATTGTTTTGTTTACGTTTCGGTTACGAAGCTATGCAACTATGAACACCCGAGAAAAAGAAAAAAAAAAAATAAACAGTGAAGAATATGTGCAGGGTTAAAAGCTGAAACCTAAGGTTTTAATCCTTGCTACACGGGACCAATTAGAAATTATCAAACTGAAAAATTGTGTTAGACTAAAATGCAGATACAGTGATAAATATCCAAAAATAATTGATCATCTTGTCTCAGGTTTTACGATATTGGCACTGCTCTGGAAAATCTTCAACTTCTACGGAAAGGAAACTGAAAGAAATTGGTATGAACACCAGCCAAGACCAGGTTACAGAGAGATGACCTTTAATAATTTTATGGGACTACACAATACACAGAGAGAGAACAATAAAAGAGAATCACTCAGGCATTGTTATTATTAGAGATCGCAAACGAAAAAATTGCCTCTTTATTGTAATTTTTGTCTCTGTGTCTTTAAAAATCATCAAAAAGCTAACAAAATACAAAGGCCTTGAAATCGAAATCTCAAAAATGTGGCACATGAGAGCAGCAACAATCTCTGTTGTACTTGGAGCCCTCAGATTGATTAGAAAAAAAATTCCAATAGACTCATTGAATGGATTCCTGGTATCTCATGCCTTAAAGAATTTTTTTTAATTGTTCTCACGTGTACAGCCCTGACCTTACAAAGGATTTTATCTATGTAAAATCTGTTTTTTTTTTGTTTTTTTTTAATTGCTCAGTGGAAAATGACATGATGGCGTTTCTGTCCTTAGGTCTCTAAAGAAATGAGTACACACCAGAAATAAAAGGAATAATAATAATAATAATAATAATAATAAGAAGAAGAAGAAGAAGAAGAAGAAGAAGATGAGCACTGCGAAAAGGTTTTAGATTTTTTTGTATCATTCGAGAAAGCAAGGCAATACATTCTACTTCTATGTGCTGCGTCCCTCCAGGACGTTGGCGATCATGTCTCTCCACAATTTCCTCTCCTTTGTAGGTCTTAATAAATTTTATCTTTTTGTTATCTCTGCCATCCATTTACAAAAACGCATTTTTCTTCTTCTGTGTACTGTGTACTTTAAGGACATTGACAATCATGGCTCTCCACAATTTCCTCTGTTTCGTACTTCCCGGTAACGCTTCTCTTTTTGTTATCTCTCCTAAACACTGTTGTGTAATCCATTTACACAAACTCATTCTTCTTTTTCTATGTACCGTGTCCCTTCAGGACGTTGGTGATGATAGCTCTCCACAATTTTCTCTCCTTCGTAGCTCTCGGTGAATTTTCTCGTTCTGTTATCGCTCCTAAACTTTGTCCCGCCATCTATTTACTCAGGCTCACTAGGTAGGTCATTCATTATCTGTCCGTCTTGCTTTTAATCCATCCTGTGAGTAACAAAATTTCTAAGCCCTCTTTCCTCATTATGTGCCCTCGAAATTTCAAGTGATTCTTCCTGGTGTAAAAAATAAGCGTTCTTTTTGTTTCAGTTTTTTTTTTTTTTTTAAATTGTCGTTTCTCGCATGTTCGGTCCATAGTTGTCTCAGTATCTTTCTGTAGAAAATATTTCTCTGGCTTCAAGTCTCTCCTTCAACTGTGAGGATATTTTCTAAAATTCACTGACATAGAGGATGACTGATGTGACGTAACACTTTAGCAGTCCTTTCTTTTTTTTCTAATAGAATTTCCCTGTTCCTTAATACTTTGCTTTGCTTCTGGAAAGCATTTTTCACTATACCACTGTTGTCGATGGATTTCAGTTTTTTCCGTTCTCTGTTAAAACACATCTAAGATATTTAAACTGTTGCACTTGTTTGATTTCGCTATCTCCAATTCGCAGTTTGCATTTTGGATTGTTCCTTTTGCCGATAAACATGCATTCTGTCTTCTTGCAAATGACGTTTAGTCCTTTCTTCTCGCTTTCTTCCAGTAGATTCTACAGTTCTTTTAATTTTCTTTCTGTGGCTATTATCAACACTGTGTCAAGTGCATAAAATATGTTGTTAAGAATGTAGCTTCCAGTAGTTCTCTGATAATCACCTGACTGTTTAGATTGAATAAGTCCGATGAGAAGACACGTCCTTGTCATTCACCCCTTTTTATTTCTTGTGTCTTTACTGAATTAATTTTCTGTTCATATCCAGGCGGTTTGCTGCCACTATGTCGACTGGATTATTCTAATACCTTTCCTAAATATGTTAAGGTTGCTTAGCAATTCCAGCTGTACATTGTGATGTACATTATTCTTTGCACGCAGTGATAGCGTGTACAGTGGATGAAATAATAAATTTCTTAACCCCACTTGTGGAAGGATTGAAAGTGAATTTACATTATGAACCGTTATAAGAGTTCATTCAAAAGAATAATGCTATGGCGACGAATGTAGTGGTTATTGCCAAGGAGTCATATCTGATCAGCAAGTTTCTAGCTAGAGAATCATTGTTAGAAGCTTTAGCCGGACCGATGTATTTGCTTAAGAATTTATTTGACGTTGATAATGATTTCCTCAAGTTATTAGAG